GAGGAAATATGTGAAACAATTTTATTATAAATAGGCAAGGGTAAAGAGAGGTAAGATTTCTATATGCCCTTCAATCTGTTAAAAATAAGTTATATATAAGTTATGTATGTTACACATACACATTATCTATATATACATATAACATAATACCTATAGCAACCACTGGAAGAGCTATACAAAGAGATACACTTAAAAATTCAAATGGAATTCTCAAAAGGTTTAAGTATCCCACAGGAAAGCAGGAATATGAAAACAGAAACAAAGAGAACAAATAGGAAAATTACGTACTTAATACATCAGTAATTACATTAAATGTAAATGGCCTAAATATACCAATTAAAAGAGTGGATTAAAAACCATGACCCAATTGTATACTATTACAAGTAACTTACTTCAAACATAATGATACAGTTGGGTTGAAAGTAAAACAATAGAAAACATATACCATTTAAACATTAATCAAAGAAAAACAGGAATGGCTGTGTTAATGTCAGATAAAGTAGATTTTAGAACAAAGAAAATTACCAGCAACAGAGAGGGACATTATATAATGATAAAAGGGGCAATCCACCAAGAATACATAGTAATCCTAAATGTGTATGCACCAAACAACAGAGCTGCAATATATGAAGCAAAAATTTATAGAAAAAAAGAAATACACAAATACACAATTATAGTTGAGACTTTTAAAAACTCCTTTCTCAACAACTGAACAACTAGACAGAAAATCATCAAAGATATAGAAAAACTCAACAACACCATCAACCAACAGGATCTAATCAACATTTATAGAACACTTGACCCAAAAGCAGCAAAATATACAATCTTTTTAAATACTCAGAGACTCAAACAGACCACATGTCAAGACCTAAAATAAATCTCAAAAAAATTTAAAAGAACTGAAATCACAGAGTGTGTTTCTGACCACAATGAAATCAAACTAGAAATTCACAAAAAGACAGCAAGAAAATATCCAAACACTTTGAAACTAAACAACACACTTCTAAATAACCCTGGGGTCCAAGAGGAAGTCTCATGGTAAGTTAATAAAATACACTGAACTGAATGAAAATGAAAATACAAAATACTAAAATCTGTGGGACACAGCTAAAGCAGTGCTGAGAGGGAAATTTATAGCACTAAATGCATACATCTTAAAAGAGGGAAAAGTTTCAAATCAATAATCTAATCTCCCACCTTGAGAACTTACAAAAGAGCAAAATAAACCCAAAGCAGAAAGAAGGAAACAACAAGGAGCAGAAATCACTGAAACCGAGGGCCGGCCCCGTGGCTTAGCAGTTAAGTGCACGGGCTCCACTGCTGGCGGCCCGGGTTCGGATCCTGGGCGCACACCGATGCACCGCTTCTCCGGCCATGCTGAGGCCAAGTCCCATATACAGCAACTAGAAGGATGTGCATCTATGACATACAACTATCTACTGGGGCTTTGGGGGGAAAAAAAAAAAAAAAAAGTTAAAAAAAAAAAAAAAGAAAAAGAAAGAAATCACCGAAACAGAAAACAAAAGAGAAAATTAATGAAACTAAGCTGATTCTCTGAAAAGATCAACAAAATGGACAAACTACTACCAAGACTAAAAAATAAAAAAAGAAAGACAATATCAATTACCAATACCAGAAATGGAACAGGGGCTATCACTCCAGAGACTGCAGATAGCAAAGGGATAACAAGGGAATGCTATAAACAACTCTATACACATAAATTAGACAACATGGACCACTTCCCCGAAGACACAAACTACCACAACTCATCCAAATTGAAAGAGATCATTTAAATAGCCCTATAACTATTAAGAAGCATCTAGAAAAACCTACAGCTAATAGCTGTTATACAGCTACTTCACCGTGAAAGACTGAATGCTTTATTTGTAAGATCAGGAAACAGGCAAGGATGTCCACTCTTACAACTCATATTCAACAGTGTGTTGGATGTTCTAGCCACAGCAATAAATAAAGGAAATAAAAGTCATACAGGTCAGAAAAGAAAACCATCCCTATTTACAGATGACATGATTGTCTACATAGAAAATCCCATGATATCTACCAAAAAAAAAAATCTTAGAACTAAAGAGTAAGTTCAGCAATGTCACAAGATACAAGATAAACATAAAAAAATCAATTTCTACATAATTAACACAATGACAATAAAATTGGAAACACAAAGTCATTTACAGTCATGCCAAAAAAAATGAAATAGTTATAAATCTAACAAAAAATGTACAAGGCATGTATGTTGAAAACCACACAACACTGGTGAATGAAATTAAAATCTAACTAAATGGAGAAACATACCATGTTAATGAACTGGAAGACTGAAGAGATGATGTCAATTCTCCCCAAAGTGAGATACAGACAACACAATTCCTATTAAATTCCCACCAAGATTTTTTGTAGATATAGACAAAATTATTCTAAAACATATAGAAAAGCTAAGGAACTAGAATAACTAAAACAATTTTGGAAAAAAAAGAATAAAGTGAGAATACTCTACCTGATTTCAAGATTTATTAGGCAAAAAAATGAACCTCAATCTAAGTCTCACACTGTGCAGAAAGGATTAACTCAGCATGTCTGGGTTTCCCACGTCCTACACTTCTTAAGACAGGTTTTCCCTTGTCAGCATCTAGGAGGTAACCTCTAAACCCTTGGAAAATCCTGCCTAATAAGAATCTTTGTTTACCTGGGGACCTTAGGTCACTGCATGTAGTCTATGTTAACAATGTGACTTATGGTGGGGGCCTTGAACCATGTGATATCAGCTTGACCACTCAAAGGCTGGTGACTAAGGTCATCCACGGAGGCAGTCAACCATGACAACATAACCAAGCCACAATAAAAATCCTGGACACCAAGGGTTGGGTGACCTTGTCTGGCTAGCAAAACTTCAAATGTGCTGTCACACATCACTAAGGGGAGAATTAAGCCCTGTTCACACAATTCCACTGGGAAAGGACAACAGGAAGTTTGGGCCAAGCGTCTCCTGGACCCTGCCCTGTGCTCTTTTTCTATTGCTGATTTAAACCTGTAACCTTTCACTGTAACAAACCATAACCATTAGTATAACAGCTTTTCTGAGTTCTATGATTCCTTCTAGCAAATCACTGAGCCTAAGAGTGGTCTTGAGGACACCCAAACACACACATTTTATAAAAAATTAACTCTAAATGGATCACGGACTTACATGTAAACATAAAATGATAAAAATTTCAGAAAAAAATTAAGAGAAAATCTTCAAGATCTGGGACTAGGCAAAGAGTTCTTAGACTTGACCTCAAAAGCATGATCCATATAGAGAAAAACAGATATACTAGACCTCAACAAATTTTAAAACTTGCTCTGCGAAAGACACTGTTAGAGGATGAAACAACAAGCTACAGAGTGGAAGAAAATATTTGCAAACCATGTAGCCAACAAAGGACTAGTATCTAAAATATATAAAGAACTCTCAAAACTCAACAGCTAATAGGAAATAATCTGATTAGAACATGGGCAAAAGACATGGAGACATTTCACTGAAGAGAATAGATAGATGGCAAATAAGCATGTGAAAAAATGTTTAACATTATTAGTTTTTAAGGAAATGAAAATTAAAACCACAATGAGCTATCACTACATTCCTATCAAAAAAGCTAAAATTCAAAAACCACCAAAATGCTGGCAGGGATGAAGAGAAAACTGGTTCACTCATACAGATCCATTTCCACTGCTGATGGAAATGGAACAGCCACTCTGGAAAACAGTGTGACAGTTTCTTTAAAAACTAAACAAGCAACTACCCCATGACAGCAATTGTGCTTCTGAGCATTTACCGCAGAGAAATGAAGACATATGTTCACACCAAAATCTGTACACAAATGTTTATAACAGCTTTATTCCTAATAGCCAAAAACCAGAAATAACCCAGATGTCTTTCAATGGGTGAATGGTTAAGCAAAATGTGGTCTCTCCAAGACTAAAGTGCTGAATACCACTCAGCTGTAAAAAGGAATGAACCATTGATACACACAACAACCTGGATCAACCTCCAGAGAAAAAAAGCCAACTCTTGGGCCAGCCCCATGGCTTAATGGTTAAGTGTGCGCGCTCCGCTGCTGGCGGCCTGGGTTCGGATCCCGGGCACACACCAAGGCACCGCTTCTCTGGCCATGCTGAGGCCGCGTCCCACATACAGCAACTAGAAGGATGTGCAACCATGACATACAACTATCTACTGGGGCTTTGGGGGAAAAATTAATTAATTAATTAATTAATTAAAAAAAGAAAAAAGCAAACTCTAAAGGGTTATGTACTATACTAATCCATTTACATATAGCATTCTTGAAATGACAAAATTATAGAAATGGCGAGTAGATAAATGGTTTCCAAGAGTTTGGAGGGAAGAGGGTGTAGGCAACATGAGGTATATTATAATGACAGAAATGTTCTGTATTTTGACTGTATCAGCCAATATCCTGGTCGTGATACTGTACTATAGTTTTGCAAGATGTCACTATGGGGGCGGGGGGTACTGAATAAAGAATGCACAGAATCTCTGGACTATTTCTTAAAATTGCAAAACAATATACAACTATCTCAAAATAAAAGGTTTGGTTAAAAAAGTGAATGAAGGGGGCCAGCCCGGTGGCACAGTGGTTGGGTTCATGCACTCCGCTTTGGCAGCCTGGGGTTGGCAGGTTCGGATCCTGGGCACAGACCTATTCACTGCTCATCAAGCCATGCTGTGGTGGCATGCCACATACAAAATGGAGGAAGATGTTAGCTCAGGGCTGATCTTCCTCACCAAAAAAAAAAAAAGTGAAAGAAGGAAAAACTAATATGATCCAAGGAACAATTTACTTTGATATACAACACTGAACATTATTAAATATTTAAATGTTACTTATAATTTCTTAGTTTGGAACAATAAAACATATCCCTTGAATGTTCACAATCACAACCATTGTCCAAAGAGTCATGTCTAAACACTAAGAATTTTAGCTCACCTTCCACACTGTCAGAACAGGAAGTTCCAATGCCGGTGTCACCACTGTCAGAAGCTATACTATGTCTCCTGATATGGTTATTTCGATGGTTAGGTGGAACAGTTGTGGCCTGCCACAATGATTCATTACCAGGTGACCATGCTGATGAAGAATAATCTGGGCCTACAAAGGAAAATATGCAAAAGTTAACACATTATAATGTCTATGAGTAGGCAGAAGATATCCTTTTCTGCCCTTGTGAAAAATAAACATAAGGTATAAAAGGTTATCTTTCTACACAAAATAATTAAAATAGATCAATGACATGTAAGATTCACCAAATAAACTTATATGTTACATGCATATCAATTCAACACTGAATCAGTCCTCTGGCTGCAGGACTCCATTTTCTACTTTGAGTAATGAACTTTAAACATGTACTGCTGTCATATTTAAAATGTCAAATCTATCATCTACCTATCTGGAAATGTCAGCACTCTGCTCTGGAATATTTGATGGGTAGGCATCTGAGATTCCATACACAGGCATTAGTTAAGTAGGGCTCAGGGAAAGTCTAACTGTATCATATTGCATGGCAATGCAAGTAGAATGTGCTTATGGAAGGTCAAAAAAATTGTATTTTTTTCTACTTCATTTTAATCAGTAAAAATTTAAAATTATTTTGCATTATTTTAATTGATTTTATTTCTTTAATTATCTTTTGATAAAAGTTTAACACCACAGCATCTTCCTGGCTCTTTGCTCAACTTTCCCTTTTGAGTTACATTAAATCTTTATTTTTTAGCTAGTTTAACACTTTCAATGTTCTCTTGATCTTTATTTTCACTTATCTTGTCCATTTTTACTTAATTTTTACTTGTCTTTTTCTGACTTATCCATCATTTTACTTTTTTTGCTCACTTCATTCTTTTATTATCTATTACAATACCAGTCAAAGTGGACCAGTGTCAGTCTGTGAACGATTTATTACTAGTTCATGAAAGCTAGGTGCAGAAATAAAGAAGAAGCATTTCGAAATTTTTACAGTAATTTGAAAGAGCAATTTTAAATCTATAAAATTTTATATAAAACCTAGCTTCTAACAGTCATTCTCAAATTGGAGCCTGTAGACTTATTTGTGGGAGTTAACAAGTTCTGTACAAGAATTTTGGGCTTTCATTTCAATGATATCCTTAAAAAACCAATAAGCACATCAGAGATGATCTGAATAACTACCTTAAAACAGATTATTTCCATCTAATTTCAATGCCACTGTATCTGTCTGTACAGCTACCTCAAAACAGACCTATTATCACACAACTTCAATGCCCCCATTTGTGTTTTATGTTTGCAGCTGCAGTTGTTTCTAAGCAAAGGGCAGATGACATATTGGGCACTTGACGTCATGATATGAAACAAGACATTTTTACAGAATTACTATGTGACACACTACTGAAATTGGCATGCAAGAAGTACCTTCTAGCAGTTTAAACATAAGGATCACAAAATGACAAACATGTCCTTAAAATTAATTACATCATTTTTACCACACTTTTTAGGAAGTCATTCTCTATATTAATATTAAAACAAAATACATAAACAGATTAATAAAACCAGACCTCAAGCTATTTTCTACCATATTAATCCCAACATTAAAGATTTAGTTTTAATAAAACATTATGCCACATTAATATTTTAATTTTTATTTATATATACTTTATAAATTAAATTTCTTTGGGTTTTATAAATGTATGAAGTATATAAGTAGCCTTAAAAGCCAACTACATTTAGAGGCCGGCCCTGTGGCGTAGTGGTTAAGTTCGCGTGCTCTGCCTTGGCGGCCTGGGGTTCACTGGTTCGGATCCCGGGCATGGACATATGTACCGTTTATCAAGCCATGCTGAGGTGGCGTCCCATATACAAAATAGAAGAAGACTGGCACAGATGTTAGCTCAGGGACAATCTTCCTCAAGCAAAAAAAAAAAAAATTGGAGGAGGAAGATTGGCAACAGATGTTAGCTCACGGCCAATCCTCCTCACACACACAACAAAAAGCCATACATTTAAATTAATGCAAGATTTAAAAGTATTGGCCAAAAAGACACTTTACCAGCTTTGAGGTACAGAACAACCAGTTAAAACTCTGTAGATTCTAGATCTCTCTCAGAATGAGACTTAATTTATCTGATTAAACACCCAGACATTAAAGTAGCCTGTTAGGTATTCTGTCATCAGGCCTGCTCTAACTCTGATCTGTCTATAATCTATACCAAAATGTTTTCTTCAATCAGTTTAAGATCCCATCTAAATGAACTCAAAGTCCTGTCTAAACCACTATCAAAAAGGGCAACCAGCCCACTACCTTCTCTCCTAAGTGCAAACCTATTAGTTAGAGAAATATTTTTTTAGGAATACCCAGCAAATAGCATAAATAGGCTGGGAGTACATGTAAATGACAAAGATATGAAAAGACATCCAATCTTAGTAATAATGAGAGAAATGAAAAAACAAAGTTTTTAGATTTCTTAAATTATCTATAATATTAAATATTATTGGCAAATATTTGAAAAATAGATGTCAAAGTGAAGGGAATGTTCATATAGCTTTGTGGGCAAATTAACTGACACAACCTTTCTAAATTAGAGCATCTGGGAAGAGGTATCTAAATTCAACACAGGCAAGAGCTTCTACTAGAAATTTATCCTAAAAAAAGAATCAGAGAAATAAATATAAAAACATATAAGCACAACGACATTTCTGACAGCACTGCTTAAAATAATAAAATAAACACCTAGAAACAAAATATATATCTGTAAATTAGTTGACAATATTTAAGTACTAAAAATAATTTTACTAACCTATTTTTTAACATGTAATGACACCCAAAAAATTAAGTATGTGTGGGGGAGAAGCATTTTACATAGCTGCATATATAGTATGATTCCACAGTTGGAGAAGAGGTTGTACATTTATATATACAGAAAAAGGACCTTGCAGGGAGCTCTACACCTAACTGTTAACACTGACTATAATGTTTTACTAAAGGAACAAATACATTACAGGACCATTTACTCTATCACTAGTGATGATGATATTATTATTATTATACCCTATCATCTTACAGGGGAAAATGCTGGAAATTATTTATACTGATTTGCAGATTACACTTACATTTGATTCTGAGATTAGGAACCAGCTATAGATCAAGATATGTACATTCAATTCATGCCACAATGGTATGAAACTAGAAATCAATTACAAGAAGAACACTGGAAAATTCACAAACATATGGAGATTAAACAACATGCTCTGGAACAACCACTGGATCAAAGAAGAATCAAAAGGGAAATCAAAACATATCTTCTGGGGCCGGCCCAGTGGTGCAAGTGGTTAAGTGCACGCACTCCGCTGTGGCGGCCCGGGGTTCGCCGGTTTGGATCCTGGGTGCGCACCGATGTACCGCTTGTCAAGCCATGCTATGGCGGCGTCCATATAAAGTGGAGGAAGATGGGCATGGATGTTAGCCCAGGGCCAGTCTTCCTCAGCAACAGGAGGAGGATTGGCAGAGGTTAGCTCAGGGCCGGTCTTCCTCACCAAAAAAAAAAAAAAACAAAACATATCTTCAAATGACAAAAACACAAAACACCAAAACTTAGAGGGTGCAAAAGCAGTTCTAAGAGGGAAGTTTATAGTGGTAAATGCCAACATTAAGAAAAACAAAAAGAAAGAGCTCAAATAAACAATCTAACTTTACATCTTAAGTAACTACAAAAAGAACAAACTAAGCCCAAAGTTAGAAGAAAAGAAATAACAAAGATCAGAGTAGAAATAAATGAAATAAAGACTGAAACGCAATAGAAAAGATCAATGAAACTAAGAGCTGATGTTTTCAAAAGATAAACAAAACTGACAAGCCTGAGCCAACAGAAAAAAAAAGAGAGAAGTCTGAAATAAATAAAATCATAAATGAAAAAGGAGACATTACAACTGATCACACAGAAGTACAAATAATCATAAAAAACTTCTACAAACAATTATACGCCAACAAATTGCACAACCTTGAAGAAATAGATAAGTTCCTAGAAACATACAACCTACCAACACTGAATCATGAAGATACGGAAAATCTCAGCAAACCAATTACTAGCAAGAACATTGAATCAATAATCAAAAATTTCCAAGCAAAGAAATGTCCAGGACCAGATGGCTTCACTGGGGAATTCTACCAAACATTTAAAAAAGAATTAATATCAACCCTCCTCAAACTACTTCAAACATAGTAGGGGAGAGAACACTTCCAAACTCCTTTTAAGAGGCCATCATTACCTTAATATCAAAGCCAGATAAGGACACTACAAGAAAAGAAAATTACAGGTCAATATCCCTGATAAACATAGACGCAGAAATTGTCAACAAAATACTAGCAACCCAAATTCAATAGCACATTAAAAGGATCATACACCATGATCAAGTGGGATTTATTCCAGGGATGCAAGAATGATTCAACATACACAAATCAAAAATGTGATATGCCACATTAACAGAATAAAGGATAAAAATCATATGATCAGCTAATAAATGCAGAAAAAGTACCTGACAAAATTCAACATCCTTTCAAGACAAGAACTCTCAACAAACTGTGTACAGAGGGAACATACCTCAACACAATAAAGGCCATATATGACAAGCCCACAGTTAATATAATACTCAACAGTGAAAAGCTGAAAGCTTTTCCTCTAAGATCAGAAACAAGATTGCCTACTCTTGCCACTTTTACTTAACATAGTACTTGAAATCATAGCCAGAGCAATTAGGCAAGAAAAAGAAATGAAAGGCATCCAAATTGGAAAGGAACAAGTAAAACTGTTTCTATTTGAAGATGACATGACATTTTATATAGAAAACTCTACAGACTCCACCAAAAAACTATTAGAACTAATCAACCAATTCAGTAAAGTTGCAGGATACAAAATCAACATACAAAAACCAGCTGTGTTTCCATACACGAACAACAAACAATCCGAAAGAGAGGTTAAGAAAACAATCCCATTTACAATTGCATCAAAAAGAATAAAATACTCAGGAGTAAATTACAAGAGGGAGGTGAAAGATCTGTACATCAAAAACTATAATAAACTGATGAAAGAAATTGAAGAAGACACAAATAACTGGAAAGATATTCC